CAGTTCACGTCGGCAATCTGCGTCGGCAGTCTGCGTCGGCAGCCTGGACCAAAAGTCACCGCGTCATCACTGTAGTCATCTGTCATGACTAAACCAGGATCCCTCCCTGTATATATATATATATAATATAACTTACTGGAACGGGACTCTAGACTACATTCCAACAAAGAGGCGTGCATTCCTGCTATATATATATATATATATAATATAACTTACTGGAACGGGACTCTAGACTACATTCCAACAAAGAGGCGTGCATTCCTGCTTACAGGCACCGAGTAAGGGGGAGGAGTTATTCCAGATCGATTCATCCTACGGATAAGTTTACGTCACTCTATATAAACATCGTTAAACGCACGCACTCGCTTCACTCCACGGGAGCACGCACGCAAACACACGCACAGAGATTCAGTTGGCGAAAAGGTCCATATAAATTCAACGTAAGCAAATGCTACTTTATTGAAGCGATGACAATGTTAATAAATACACGACAACATGGTATATGGCGAAAATAAATATTACATATGACGATGTCGATGAAACGATACGACAAAAAATCGAAATACATATAAAACGACGGCGCATACCTACTGCGGCGGTGCTAACTTCTAGCGACATAACAGCTTCTAACTTATTTAGATTAGGGCATGTCTACCCCTCTAAGAACACGTAATGCATTAGCTGCGGTATGAAGTTTTAAATCAGTAATCACCACTTAGAAATGTGCGCAGCGGTTGCCCATGACGTTTCTGGTACTCATACCTATATCATATTCACGGGGACGGGTGGTGAAAGAGATTTCTTGCGAAAATCAGGTTGATAAATTAATAGGTAGTTGATTTCATGTTGATCCCACTCTCCGCCTAAACTGTATCTTTGGGTTAAATAGCAAGCTATGCAGTGAAGGTTTGGGATCTTTGATCTTCTGATTTTTGAAAGACTCCGCAATGTCAACTTTCTCTACTGGTTCTACAGTGTCAACCTTCTCTACTGGTTCAATATTGTCAAAGTTATCTTCTGATTTAACAATGTCAAACTTCTCTACTGATTCTACAACGTCAACTGTCTGCATTGGTTCTACAGGGTCAATCTTTTCTTCTGGTTCTACAGTGTCAACCTTCTCTAGAGTGCCAACCTTCTCTACGATGTCAACATTGTCTTCTGGTTCTACAGTGTCAACCTTCGCTACAGTGTCAGCCTTCTCTACTGGTTTTACAGTGTAAACTCTTTCTACAGTGTCAATCTTGTCTTCTGGCTCTACGTTATCAACCTTCTCTACAATGTCAACCTTTTCTACAGTGTCAACCTTCTCTACAGTGTCAACCTTCGCTAGTGGCTGCTATCAATGTATACTTTCTCTACTAGTGCCAACCTTCTCCTACGGGTTCTACAATTATCAACCTTCTCTTACCTGTGTCAACCTTCTCTACTGGTTTTACAATGTCAAACCATGCTCTAAGCAGTTGTCAAGCCTTTTCTTCTCGGTTCTACAAGTAACCTTTTCTACAGACTGACTCAATGCTTTTCTACTGGTTCTAGCAATGTCAACATCTCTACTGTTTAACTGTCCGTTCTCATTAACTTCTGGCTTCTACAATGTCAACCTTCTCTACAGTGTCAACCTTCTCCAGTGGTCTCTACAATGTCAACCTTCTGCTACTGGTTCTTACAAATGTCAACCTTCTTACTGTTCTTACAATAGTCAACCTTCTCTACTTGTTCACAATGTTAACCTGTTTATCTACTGTTGCTACAATGTCAACCTCCTCTACAATGTCAAACCTTCTCTTCTGCGTTCTACAATGTCAACCTTTTCTACAGTGTATCAATCTTCTCTACGCTGTTTCTACAATGTCAACTTCTCTATACTGTCTACAATGTCAACCTTCTCTACAGTGTCAAACCTTCTCTATTTGGTTCTACAATTTCAACCTTCTCTGTAGTGTCAACCCTCTCCAGTGGTTCTACAATGTCAACATTCACTACTGGTTTTACGGTGTCAACCTTCTCTACAGTGTCAATTTTCTTTACTGGTTCTACAATGTCAACCTTCTCTACTAGTTTTACAATGTCAACCTTCTTTACTGGTTCTACAATGTCAAACCTTCTCTACTGGTTCTCAGCAATCTGTCACAACCTTCTCTACTGGTTTCTACAATGTCCAACCTTCTCTACTGGTTCTACAATTTCACCTTCTCTACAGTGTCAACCCTCTTGCCAGTGGTTCTACAATGTGTCACACATTCACTTACTGGTTTTACAGGCACTCAAGTGTCAAACCTTTCTTCTTACTGGTTCTACAATGTCACCTTCTCTACAGTGTCAAATCTTCTCTATCTGTTCTACAATGTCAACCTTTCTCTACTGGGTTTTACAAGTCAACTTCTATTACTGCGTTCTCAAATGTCAACCTCTCTACTGTTCTACCAATAGAACCCTTCTTTACTGGTTCTGGCTAATGTCAACCTTCTGCCAGGGTTCTACAATGTCAACCTCATCTTCTACCTGTTCTTAACAATGTCAACCTTCTCTACTGGTTCTTACCAATGTCTAGCCGGTCTCTCTCTTCCGCTACTGTCTACAAATGTTCAACCTTTCTCTACGGTTTCAACACTTCTCTACTGGTTCTACATTGTCAACCTTCTCTACAGTGTCAACCTTCTCTACTAGTTCTACAATGACAACCTTCTCTACAGTGTTAACCTTCTCTAGTGAGTCTACAATGACGACCTTCTCTACAGTGTCAATCTTCCCTACTGGTTCTATAATTTCAATTTTCACCGCTGTTTCTGCAATGTCAATCTTCTCTGCTGGTTTTACAACGTCAACGACGTCGGATTTCTCGATTGGCTCAAGGATGGTCACCTTCTCTACCGACTCTAGTAAGTCAGCCTCTTTCACTTGCTCTACAACACCAACTGTCTCTATCGGTTCTACAATGTCAAACTTTTCTAACAAATTCACGTTATTTACCTTCTCTACTGTCTCCACCCTATCAATTTTCTCCACGGGCTCAAAAACGATAAACTTATTTAATGGTGTTGCAAAGTCAGCGGTCTGCCCTGCTTTGTTAATAATTTTAATACCCTTTATTGGCTGCTCCGTGTCTAGTTCCTTTCCTAGTGGCTTCACAAGAGTGGTCTTCTCTGCTGGTTTTCCAATGTCAATCTTGTCCACGTTCACCATCATATCGCCCTTTTTCATGGAAACCACAGTGTTGACCTCTGCGGGCGGCGTAGTTCCGTGGGTCTCTCCTGGTGGACAGTAGTGGGTGCTTGAAACTGCAGCCTGGGTAGTTGCCACAAATGGCTGCGCTGTTGTTAGGGTTGGCTGTGTTGTTGTCGTGGTTGGCTGTGTTGTTGTCGTGGTTGGCTGTGTTGTTGTCTGTTGCCGTTGCTTTGTCTGTTGTGCGTGTTGGCTGCTGTGTTGTCGTAGTTGGCCTGTGTTGTTGTCGTAGTTGCGCTGTGTTGTTGTCAGTGGTTTGGCTGTGTTGTTTGTCGTGGTGGCTGTGCTTGTTGTCGATAGCTTGGCTGTGTTGTTGTCTGTGGTTGGCTGTGTTGTTTTGCGTGTTGGCTGCTGTTGTTGTGGTGGTCTGGCGTGTTGTTGGTCGTGGTTAGGCTGTGTGTTGTCTGATCAGTTGGCCTGTGCTTGTTGTCGTTAGTTGGCTGTGTTGTTTGTCTGGTTGCGCTGTGTTGTTGTGGTGGTTGGCTGTGTTGTTGTCGTAGTTGGCTGTGTTGTTGTCGTAGTTGGCTGTGTTGTTGTCGTGGTTGGCTGTGTTGTTGTGGTGGTTGGCTGTGTTGTTGTCGTGGTTGGCTGTGTTGTTGTCGTAGTTGGCTGTGTTGTTGTAGTGGTTGGCTGTGTTGTTGTCGTAGTTGGCTGTGCTGTTGTCGTGGTTGGCTGTGTTGTTGGCACTCGTGGTTGTGTTACCGAGACAGTTGTTTCTGATGTTGCTGATATTGTGACCAGCTCAATCGAGTCAGCTTGTTCTTGGGCGTCTGCTTTGAGCTCCCTAACAATCTCCTGTGCCAGCGTCTGCTCCTCGGCCGTCGCCTTCGATGGCTTGACTAGTCTGCGGCGTAGTTTGACGAGGGACGGAGTTTTCTCCTCCGTGATGGCAGCTGGAGGAAGACGTCTGGCTGCCGAGTCTTGGCGTTGACCGACGATATCCGCTCTTATGCGGTAGCGCTTTTGGTACTCAGCATCATTGCCATCCCGAACAGTAGTAGTAGTACGCCTGGGTTCACTCACGCGAACACCGACCACGCGACTAGGATCAGGTCTGGCTTCACTCACACGCACACCCACGGTTTGTCCAGCATCGGCTCTGGCCGCGGTCACCCCCGCTGTTTGCCGCGTATTGGACCTACCCTCAGACACACTGACACCGACGGTTTGCCCCGTATTGGACCTACCCTCAGACACACTGACACCGAGGGTTTGCCCCCTATTCGCTCTGGCCTCCGAAACTCTAACGCCCACTGACTGCCGTGGATTAGTTCTTGCTTCGCTAACGTGACGATCCACCGTACGTTCAAAATCAGGTCTAGCATCGGACACCCTAACACCTACCGTCTGCCCCGCATCTGCCCTGGCCTGCGTTGCGCGAAAGGCGACTTGATTGGGACTGTATGCTAGCACTTGACTTTTGGATTCGGTTGGAAGCGACTGACCCGCCGCGTAGGTGTAAGATGGGGTTGACGATTCACGAGAGGCTGCGTCGTCGAATTCAAACTGGATAGCAGAAGGCGTCGGAGCGGACTGCGTGGGGAGAGAATCCTCCTCCTTCTCTGGTGCATCTTCATCCGTCTCTACCAAAAACGTTGCGATTGGAACGTTGTATCCGCCGGCGTTGCCGCTACGGAAAAGCTGCGAGGTGAGACCACCGAAGCCGGCCCTAGGGCCGGGAGAGAAAGGTCCCGGCTCGTGCGCGAGGCCCGCGAACTGCGTGTGTAGTCCGTTGGCCGTGAGGCTCAGGCCTCCCAGTCCACTGTGAGCTGTCGGTTCTCCCTGCCGGTAAGTGAACACTGCAGGTTCGCCCTGCTGTGGCGTGTACACCACCTGCGTACCCTGGTCGGTGCGCACCGGCAGTGCACCCTGCAGGTTGGTGACAGTGGGTATCCCTCCAGGGTAGGCGTAGTCTGTGGTTTGTCCTCCCTGTGCGGTGGCAAGCGTGGCTCCTCTCCCTAGCTGTAATCTTCCGTTACCGGCCAGGCGAGGCGTGGGTAGCGGCTGAGGCTGTGCGCTCTGGCGAGTGGATGGTGCTACTGGGATAGATCTCTGAATAGTAGCGCCCCCTGTGAGGTAGTATGAGTATTGGTTCTCATCCCCGCCGGTGGCAGAGTTACTGCAGAGAAAACAGACATCATCACACATTGCATACATCAGATAGATGATGTAAGATCACTTGTGAGATAGATGAGATACACGTTTACTCTGCTGTGCTCTATACGTACTACATAGACCAGAATGAAGGCGAGATACAGTAAAACACTCTCATTTATAAAAAGTCTCGCCAAACTGGAACGTCACTAAGAAGAACAGCTACTTTTATAAAACCACGACTTTATAAAACAATAATCACAATGTTAGACACACGAGAACGACGATGATGCATGTTTAGTGGCTATACGCAGTGACACATGTAGGAAACCATGACTAAATCGGTACGGTAAGTGCAATGATATCACCATATTCTACCTGCATCACCCATATGCATGCAGACGACCCAATACTACCCATCACTAAGACTACCACTCAATACACACGCGTTCACAACCACACAGAACATATCCGTAACCAAGTTAACCACCCAGGACATGTGCGCAACTAAAACAATCATTAGGGAAAAGTTCATATCTAAGACAAACACCAGAGACTTTTTCACCACTAAGACAACTATACCCCAGGACAAGTGCAACACTAAGACCATCATCTAAAACCCGTCTGTTAACTATGTCAGTCGTCCATGCGCTCGTCCACTACGACAGCAATACATGCAAAGAACATAGACTGCTTCCGCACGCGTTAGGACTTGCTTGTCGTTATCCACAGATACTTCCTAATCATCACTCCTCTTGGAGCTGGCCGTAACGTCCCTCCGGTGACGAACGCCATGTTGGTCTGGTCATGGCTTGGTCTGTATTTGCCGCTGCACGGCGCTGCGACTGCGGCGTCTGCTACCCGGCGGGGGGGGCATACGGCCATGCGGGGCATACGTGTCACGTCCCTGCACTTGATATGCCGTACCCACGTAGCAGCTGAAAGGTCGCGCGGTCGTGCTTGCTCACTGTGTCACGGGAACATCGCCAGCGGGCCGCCGGCCCGCTGCTCACTTACACTAAGGTGAACGACACCGTTCGCGTCCACCTCTCATTTGACTCGTCAATCACCATTTATCTTCTTTGACACGACGGGTCAGCACCAGCCGAGGCAGGTATTTTTCACTGCCAAGGGCCGCGGCGAATGTCGTCGATTGTGGTAGACCATATACCGCGTGTTTACACACACGAGCCGTACGATCTATCAGTGTTGAATGACAATGTAATGTGCGAAGGAGATAGCTGTTGAGCATAAACGAAACTTCAGCTGAAAATAATAGTTATATATATGGAGGGAAGACCACTGTTGCTCTTTTATAAATGGTTTATTGCTAGTAAATACATCCTGACTTTACATCCGATGAATGCTAAAATTACAGCGATGCGTTTACGAACGGGGTAATGCGCGCTAGGCTATAAACACAAGAACAGCTTCGTTCAGCAGTATAGTTGAATGTCATGATACAGAGACACGCCCAACGTAAAAAAATGATAATGTGCTAAATGCTACCAATGAACGATAATAATAATACTGAAAAATTATATACGGAATAAAAATGAAACTGAATACATTGCGATGTAATATTGAGAACGATCTGCTAGTGATCATACGGCGGGATACTTCGCATGCGTGCGCCCGAAAGATTACGACGAATCGCTAATGAAATGAGAGAGATGATGTGATATTTACAGTTTCCGCATGCTTTCCGGTGGGCGTAGCTGATATCTGCGTGTATATCTCATGAGCGGTCGGTCGGCACGAGGGCCGACACAGAGAGATTATCATTGGTATATTAGGGCAGTATTTACACGGTGCGTCCGCGCCATATTGGCTCAGACGTAGACGAGTCCCTGGAGAGGCGTCTGCGCTTTGCTGGGAATGCTACCGAAGTTGGCCGGCGGGTTGCGACCTCTGGTCTGCGCGTAAACGTTGTTGCCCAGCCTTGCCACCTGGGCGGTGGCTACCTGCGGAGATCCCACATGTCGTCCGAAGAATGCTTGCTGCTGGCTAAGGGGGTTCGAGAGAGCGGGCTGCTGCTGGTAGGTGGCGCTGCCCAATGCTGGCTGCTGCTGGTAGGTGGCGCTACCCAACGCTGGCTGCTGCTGGTAGGTGGGGCCGTTTAATGTCGGCTGCTGCTGGTAAGTGGCGGCCGTTAGTTGCTGCTGCGTTCCGGATATGGCGTTGTTAGGTATGGGAAAGCTGCTCAGCTGTAGACCCTGGTTGAACACGCTATATGGCTGTTGTCCCTGGTTGAGAGACTGGCCGAAGGGGTGCTGCTGGGGTAGGTTGCGGAGGGTGGGCTGACCTCGCGTCTGTTGCGGATACTGTCCTCGTCCGACCGCTTGACCGTACAGCTGTTGCTGGGCACGACTCTGACCGATGGGTTCCCCGAAGGCTTGACGTGGCGGTAGTCCGCCCCTGAACCCTTGCTGACCGCTGTACGAGACGGCAGGCTGCTGCTGCTGCTGCTGCTGCAGACCCTGACCGATCGTCTGCTGTCTACCGTAGGCGGTCGGCACCGTCTGCTGCTGAGCGCTCTTCACGTTGTTGATGGCGACCTGGGAAAGGTGTCCGTTCGGACCGCGTGGCGTGAGGAAGCGGTCGCGGGCGCTGCTCGCAAACGTGCTAGCGAGGCCTCCCGCTCGACCGAAGTGGCCGAACCCACCGAAGCCCTGCAGGGAGCCGGAGCCGAACGAGTCGGTATCCGGTGCGGTCGCCGAGGTCTGCGGCGTCTGCGGCCAGAAGGCGGCGCGGGATTGCTGCTCGAACGTGCCGTCGCGTCCGACGGACGTGTCGGCGAGCTGCGCGAGCTTCGACGCCGCGTAGTTGTTGTTGCGACGCTCGCTCTCCTCGTTGCCGCCGTAGCTGCCGAAGCGGAACTGCGACGGCACGCGTCCGAAGGCGGCGTCCGACGCGAGCGCCGGATTCGGATGCTGCTGCACGAGCGGCGAGAAGGTGATCAGCTGGCTGGCGACGGGGCGAGGCGTCGTCGCGCCCACGTCGATCGACTGACCGCCGCCGACGTGACCGTAGTTCTTCAGCCGACCGAAGGTAGCGACCTGGTCGAGTCCCGCGCTGCGCAGCAGTGGGTTTGTGTCATCCGTCAGCTGGCTCGTGATCTCAATCGGCTTCAGCTCCATCGTCGGCACCTGCAGCGCCGCGCCCTCTACAACCGGAGCTTCACCCACGTCTTCTAGCGTCGCTGCCAGGGGTTCGTTGTCGTTCTTACCTACCGGATAAACATATCCAGTCGCCTCTGTCTTCGGTACGCTGGGCTTCTCCGAGGCTGCGTGTACGAACGGCAGGGATGGCACCGCCTGTGCGGCCGCCACCGAGGCCGGATCCACTCCCCCCTGATAGAACTCGTTTTCGGCATTGTCGAACATCGCCTTGACTCTGGCTATGGCGGCGTCGTCTTCCCTGGGCGACGGAGTCGAGAAGCCTGGCAGGCCGTTCCAGCCGAAAGTCTGCAGCAGCTTGTTGTTAAGGTTGTGCGTGGCGACCACGCCCAGCTGGTTCGCCGAGTCGTCCTGGGACAGTTCGTAGGTGTTGCCTCCCGGGCCCGAATTGCCGTAGCTGCGGGGGGAAGAACGAGGTCCTATACATTGACGCTGCGTCTGTGTAAGACGTCCAGGTGTGGAGGTCGAGATACTGCTGATGGGCAGCTTGATACATTGGTAGAAATTAGGACGTAAAACTCTGTCCGCGCACCAAGAATCACGGATGAAAACATAATCGAAGTAGTGGCTCTGGTCAAGGTTAAAGTAAGCCTGTCCTACTTACTGGTAAACGTTCTAGCCCACCCACTGGTTGTCTGACATGTGCAAGTCACATTCATGGTGTATCAGTAACCATCAGTTTTTCACTAATTTCTTCCATGCAATTACAAAGAAAATTTCAAACAGCAGTAGTCATATTTTTATAAAGAGATTACTTTTCGAGTAATAGACGAACGGCATGGATGCCACAAACTATATTATTCATTACCTTTTTCCCCAAAAAAATTGTATTGAAAGTTGTATTAAAAATTGTATTAAAGATTGGTGTTAACATTCCCCAATTTTACGCCCTGGTTAGATTTCACGCCACGGTCAACGCTGGCTGCGCATGCGTAGCTCGCACATCGCAATCACGACTTGCAACTTACCTCAGCTCTGCACGCAAGAGTATACAGTACACAACCGCCTTCATGTGGCATTCCTTTATCCGGGGATGCTGATGCTAATCGACCCCCACCCCCAAGAAGACGAGCTCCCCTGAAAAACCTCACACCTTAAGCTACGCAGTCGTCACAAACGCGGTACCTACCTGGGCACGTGAGCTGAATTGCCGGATCCCGTCACTCCGAACACGTGTCCGGCGGAGTAGTCCGGTCTCGCGTTGAAACCCCGCGCCTGCATGGCGGCGCTCTGGTCCGGGAAGCCTTGTGGAACGACGCCCGTCAGCGGGTTGTGTTGCGTCTGCGCGCTCCTGCCCTGGAAGGCGACGGGCACCGACTGGAACGCCCCCGCGCGGCCGGGAAGGTTGGCGGGAAAGTCGGACGGCTTCGTCTGCCCGCGGGTGAGCAGTGACGGCGAGACGGGCACGGTTCCGTAGGAGCTCGCCTGCTGAAGGTAGGTGACGGGGTTCTGCTGCTGCTGCTGCTGTTGTTGTTGTTGCTGCTGCTGCTGCTGCTGTTGTTGCTGCTGCTGCTGTTGTTGCTGCTGCTGCTGTTGTTGTTGCTGTTGTTGTTGTTGCTGCTGCTGCTGTTGTTGTTGCTGCTGCTGGGCGGCAAGCTGCGGCAGCGGCTGGTGCCAGTACCGGCGCGTGCTGTCCAGGTAGTTGGTCGCCTTGTTGACGCCCGCGATGGCGGCCCGGTCGAGAGTGAAAGCACCGTTATGATTCGTATCGAGCTCGAACGGCGCCCCGCCCCTCTGTGGCGCCCCCTGGTGGCTGGCGGGGCCCTGCAGACTGAAGGGGCCGGAGCTGGCGGGCTGGTATCCGCGGGAAGTCGGCGCCGTGTTGGGCTGGTATCCGCGGGAGATTGGCACCGTGTTGGGCTGGTATCCGCGGGAGGTCGGCACCGTATTGGGCTGGTATCCGCGGGATATCGGCACCGTGTTGGGCTGGTATCCGCGGGAGATCGGCACCGTGTTGGGCTGGAAGGCGCGGCTCTGTCCCCGCGGGATGCCTCTGCCACGGAACGGCTGCACGCCACCTAGGGTCTGGTAGGGAACGCTGCCTGTTTGGTAGCCCTGCTGCGGCTGGAACTGGCAGCAGACTGTGCTCGCCTGCAAGGAAGACACCGCGCGATGGTTTGCTGAGTATAGGATGGGCAGCCTGACACGCGCGTGCTACACCTACAAGCATGAACTCCTTAACCGCCTCTCTATTCCTAGAAATCGTCTGCGCACTGCCCATTAAGAGCTTACTGCTAAATGACTCTCAGTGCTGAAAGCAAGTCTCTACTAAACTGACATCAATACGCCCGCGAGCCTACCAATTTAATACGAAATAATCAACTCCCGATGAACTGCTACGCTGAGCGACTATCACAATGCAACTACTAGTGCGTCCAAGCCTAACCTACATGTGTAAAACATATGATACACAATGGTTAAACGGCGAAAATTATTTTAACCGCGTTAATTATGTAATCTGCTTTTCAAGCCTAGGTAATAACTGTTTCAACGGCGGATAACACACGTAAATTATTGAAACCACGATAGGAAATAACCCGCTGGATATCAAAGTATATGCGCGAATATTGTCCGCCATCTTGTTTGTGCAGGGTAAATTATTTTATCGCGGTAAGAATTAACCGTCAGCCACTATATGCTCACGCCACAAGTTTTGGGCATTTTCGCTGCTTTCCGTTTGCTTCATTTTTCTCGTTACTGCTAACCTAACAAAACTATTCACAACCTATAAGCCTATCTACGCCACTAATGAAGCACATTTATTCTCGTGGTCCCTGCGGCAACATACCTGACTGAGCACGCGGAAGGTTGTAAATGTAAGGGAAGGAGGGGGGTAGAGAGAGAGAGTGTGAGAGAGAGAGAGAGAGAGAGACATACAGAGATGGAGGGGGGGAAACAGCGCAAGTGAGACACACAGCGAGCGAGAGAGAGAGAGAGAGAAAGTGAAAGACATACAGAGATGGAGGGGGGGAAACAGCGCAAGTGAGACACACAGCGAGCGAGAGAGAGAGAGAGAGGAC